TGCGCTCCGCGCCGCTCCTCATCGCCAGACCTGGGTGCGCGCCGCGGCCTCAGCCCGGAGCATGACCCGCCGCGGGCCGGGCGGGAACCGGAGCGCGAAGGGCCGGCCCGCCGTGCGCCCAGCCTCGGCTCCGGCTCGGCTCTCCTGGGCAAGCGACCCGCCCGTGGACTGCGATCAGTGGGGCGGGGCGGGAGGGGCCGGTGGGGCGGAACTCGGGGTGGAGCCAGGCGCCGGGGCGGGGACAGGAGGGACCGGGCGGGCGGGGCTGCTAGGCACTCGGACGCGCGCACCTCGCGGGTCCGTGGGGAAGAGGGAGAATCTGGTCTCCGCGGGCTGAGATGCTTGCGCCGAGGAGGCCGCATGCACAGAAGCGAGAGAGGACGGTCCTTTGCCGGTTATCTTGGAGGACCCGAAAGGCTGGGGACCGGGATGCTTTGCCTTGCAGGGAGGCGGAGACCCCCTGGGTTCTGAGGAAATGCGGTGACCGGCGCAGAATCGGGGGTGCCCCCAGGCCTTCCCACCTCCTCTGTCTTCCCAGAAAAAGTCGCTTGCGGATTTCTGCCACTCGATCCTGGGAAACCTCAAACTTCAGCAGCTGTTTTGCGCTTTGCACAGAATGGGAAGGCAGGAAGCGGCCGCGCCCACCCTGGCCAGGGTTAAGGTCGGAACCCGTAGGCCGGCGGTGCCAGCCCGAAGCGCTCCGGTTCCGCTGCCACCGGTGGTGCGGGAGCTCGACGTCCCGGTGGGTAGGGGCGGGGCGGGGTCTAGTGCGGAAGCTCCGCCCTGCGCGCACGCCTGGACCTTGGCTGCGTGCGCGCACGTGCACACAGATGCGCGTGCACAGAAGCCTAACTGGGCTGAGTGCACGCATCTTAGACCCGGACCCCTAAGCTAAGGGGTCTACCATCCTCTCCCAATGTAGCCTTCAGGGCACATTCCGGAGCAGAGTCTGCTAGCGCAGGTTCGCGCCCCAGGGCTGGCGGGGAGCACAAATCGTCCTGGGTCCTGGATCCCGCCGAGATCCCACCTGGGCCCTCGCTGCGTATTGGGAACCCTTGGGCGCAGTTGGCTGGTATGCCTGGGCTCCTTTCCAAGGTCAGGTTGCGCTTCCAGCAATGCGCTTAGCTTCCGGTGTCTAAGGCCTCCGCACTGGGGAGTCCTTTTGTGGTTACTCAGTGGCCCGACTTTTGGAAACCTCTGCCTTATTTGTTTGGGCAGAACTAAGACCTGGTCAAAGAAGTCCTTCCCTCCACCACCCGGAAGTCCTGGAGAACCCTTCCTGCTGCCCCGGGTGGAACAGTGAAACCTCTATCTGACTTGTGGTCACGAGGGGGAAGGTCCCTCCCTCCCCACAATTTCTACAGCATCCTTCAGCCCCCACTGACTCCTCCCTCCGTAGCACCTTTGAAATTCATTAACCTCCTAACCTGCTTGGCCAGAAAAATGTGAGTATAGTTGACCTGCATCTTTTCTGGACCATTTAAGTAGCTAGTACTCCACCAGCCATATATCCCCCTTGGCTAAACAGGAGCCCTTTCGGGGAAAGAATGAATGGAGCCACCTGCCGACCACTGACACAAAGCACAAGGGAGGTAGGCATCCACGACTGAGTTAGGCACTCAGTTTAGGGATGAGGGAATGGGGAGGTGTTTTCAATGGAGCATAACTGTAGGTCAAGCTGACCATTTACCGCAGGTCTCCATGCAATCTCAAGGTAAACTCTCCAGCACAGAGATAGTGGGTAAGTCCTGCCAGGAGACTAGGTTCAGCCTTCTCCCTTGGCAGACGGCTATGGTTTCTGTACTCTCTTACCTTTGCCTGTCCCTACAGGCACCCGCTGCACCACCTGATCAGAAGAGGTCCTCAGTTTTCATTACATTATGAGAGGGATGGAGGACCGAGCAATCCACCCTGAACATCAGATCTCCAGGGGCCTTCCCCCAACAGTGGCAGCCCAGCTGTGCCTAACTCTCCCTCCCTGTCCGAAATATCACAAGAGACAGCACGAACAGAAGGAAGAAGAAAGCTTTCATAGACAAACTACCAATGGGTGAAAGGCTAGAGGGATTACTTAGTTTATAAAGTGCCTGCGCACAAGCATGAGGACCTGAGTTTGATCCCCAGCATGCTCATAAAAGCCAGGCATGCAGGAACAGCAGCATGAGCCTGTAATCTCTCTGGGGAGAGAGGGAAGGGGACAGGATGGACAGGAGGATCTCTGGGGTTTGCTATCCAGTCTAGTTGAATGAGTGAGTTCTAGATTCAGTGAAATCTTGTCTCAAAAATCAAAGTGGTGAGTGATTGGGGAGGACAGTGATGTTGACCTCCCTGACTGTCCAGGTGCAACGGTCCATCTTCATTGTCAATATGATTGGTTGAGAGACACCTAAGAGATTAGGAGAGCACACCTCTGTGTGTGTCTGTGGTGATGTTTCCAGAGAGGATTGACATTCAGGACCACAACTGACTACTATAAGATGAGACATTTGACTCTACCACATACCCCTGCCACCATGACACTGTGCCCCAAACTAGCCAGCTGTGTCTGAAGCTATGAGCCCAAATAAGTCTTTCTCTAAGTTGGTTTTTCTTTCCTTTTCATTTCCTTCTTTTTTCTTTTTGAGCTAGAGTGTCGTGTAGCTCAGGAGGGCCTGGAATCTGCTCTGAACCCGAGTCAAGGATAGCCTTGAACTCCTGATCCTCCTGTCTCCATCTCCTAAGTACAGGGATTACAGATGCTACCATCATACCTAGTTTTTCAGTTGATGTCTTCTCAGGTATGCTAACACACTTTATATATGTAAAAGTACTCATGTAATTAAGCCATATTTAGTGATGCACACCCGTAATCTCACTAGCACTCTAGAGGTTGAGGTGGGAGGATTGTTGGTTCAAGGTCAACCTGGTTACATAACAAGAAGACCCTGGACTGATGAGATGCCTCAGTCAATACAGGCTCTTGCCACTGAGCCAGATGATCTGAGTTCAATCCCTGGGATTCACGTGGTGAAAGACAACAAACTCCTGCAGGTTGTACACTGACCTTCACACTGTGGCATGTGCACATATGCACATGTGTATGCACACTCACACATACACAAAATATGTACATAAACATAATTTTAAAAGAGAGAAGAAATAGCAAATCATATAATTAAAAACTCATTTTTAATTTTATGTGTATAAGTGTTCTGCCTGCATGTGTGTAAGGGCATCTGTGTCATGCAATGCCCTCAGAGACCAGAAGAGGGCATCGGACACCCTGGAACTGGAGTTATGGATGGTTGTTAGCTGCCATGTGGGTGCTGGGATTCAAACCCAGGTCCTCTGCAAGAGTAGCCAGTGTTCTTAACTGCTGAGCCATCTATCCAGCCCCAATAATTAAAAACTTCTACACCAAGAAAACTGAAGTTGTGGACAGTGATACTCACAGAAGAACAGTAAATGAACCCTTCCACGAATAATAATTCAAAATGAAGCAGAGGCCAAGCCCTAAGAGCTGAGACTATAACCCTAGAAGAAAGCTTAGGAAGAAAACTCTGATTCGGGGTAGACAAAGGATAATTAGATTGAAACAAAAGGCCTAAGCCATTTTTTAAAAACCCTCATAAATTGATCCTTATTAAAAACTCTGGAGCTCCAGAACGCACCATTAAGGGAATCAAAAGGCACAGATTGGGCCAAGGCAGGGGCCAGGACCAGCAGCAAATCCTATCTGTAGAATACTTGTAGTCAGAGCATAAAAAACTCTCACACCTAATTACAAGAAAATAATTAAATAGCTGATAAAACATTTGAATAGACTGCACCAAAAGAAGTCATACAAACAGCTAAAGTACATAAAAATGTGGCCCATATCACAAATCATCAAACCACAAGATGCCATTAGCCACTCAGGGGACGGCTATAATGAAAAGGACAGACAGCACGAGTTGGTCTGGAGCTCACACTTGCTCACAGGAACATAAAATGGTACAGCCACTTTGGAAAACACTGTCTTAAATGTTAAGCACACTCACCATGAATGTGGAGAAAGGGGAATGCTCATTCGCTGCTGGTGGGATTGCAAACTTGGGCAACCCCTAAAGGAAAACAGTGTGGAGAGCTCTTAAAAAACTGAAAATGAACCCTCCATATGACCCGGTTATACCACACCTCAACAACCCCTCAGTTATCTTGGTAAGTATGCTCAGTAAATTCACTGGTTCCCCAGTAAAACTTTAATCAAACATTGGCTTGACACTCGAACCTTAAAAGAGACTAAGCATTGCTTAGTATCCCCAGGAAAAGAATTCTCACAACAGATGGAAAATTTATCTGTTAATGCTATTATGGCTCATAATTGTTTTTAAAAATGAGAATGTAAAAGATGTTTAAAGGATATGGGAATGGAGATATTTTCCAAAATAGAAAAAATGAGAAAGCCTAAGCAAGTGATGAAGGTCTGTTTAGGTTTGTTATGATATATAAAGGATGAGACAAAAATAATATACACACAATCTTAAAATTTCTAAGGTCATAGTTTAGTCAAGTAAGAAACAAAATATATATCTAATAAAGGTTTATCTGAGAATATTTGGTTTTTTTACCCAAGCTTTATCTACATAGCACATGGTAATTAGAAGTACCAGACTGGTGGAACTAACCTTATTGGATGTGTAACAGCCATACTTTGAGGCCTATACTAATTTGGTTAGAGGGATATAAAGGACAGTTTTGCTCCTTGCCCTCTAGGTTGACTAAGTTTCAGAGGACTATGAGCATCTCTCAAAAAGTCCTGTAACTGTGGTGAGTCACCTGTCCTCTTGATCAAGGAGGACATGGAGACCCCACCAGATGGACTTGAACCAGTGTCCAG